ACGCAGCTGTAGGAATGACGGTTTGACGTGTTTGTTTTCTTCGCTCAGGTCGCAGCGTGCGATTCGCTGACATGCCGCCGCCCAAAGAGAAGAGGACGAGGAGGGTGATGAAGACGAAGAGCATCACACCACTGCAGGCCATGATGCTCCGGATGGCAGTTGTGTGATCTCATCATCACCATACCAGACCAAGTCAAGTCACCTTTAGCGCTTTATACAATACAGATTGTGCCAAAGCAGCTTTAGATGTTGACGTGTGTGTGTGTGTGTGTGTGTGCAGGTCAGTCTATCCCGGAGGATGAGGAGGAGGAGGAGGAGGAGGAGGAGGATGATGATGAGGAGGATGAAGAGGAGTACACAGACTCGGAGGAGTCGGATGCTGAGGATCAGGTCTCCACTGAAGCCACTCAGTCATTGGTCAATCCTAGACTTCCTGTTCTGTCTGCACCAATGGCAGTGCAGCAGCCTCCTCCACACATGCAGGCTCCACCAATCACAGGGCCTCCTCCTTTAGGACCACCTCCTGCTCCCCCAATGAGGCCGCCGGGACCACCGTCAGGCCCGCCCCCAGGACCGCCTCCCGGTGCGTCATTCATTCATCATCATCATTGTTATCATACAGATGATGCTGAAGAGCAGCAAACATACCGGTGTCGTTAGTTAAGCACAAGATATTTCACTGACAGTGATTCTGTGCTGAAATACTCAGTGATGTTGTTTGATTGTCTGTGGAGTCATGTGATGTGTTTGACGGTTGTTTTGGTTCAGAAGTTGAGTGGATTGTGGTGAGATGTTTGCTGATGCTGGGTTTTGTCACACACAGGTGCTCCTCCTTTCCTGAGGCCCCCTGGACTCCCCGTGGCCCTCAGGGGCCCCATACCACGCATGCTGCCTCCGAGGCCCCCACCGGGACGCCCGCCAGGACCCCCGCCCGGACCCATAGTAAACACTCAATTTACAGTTACAGGCAGTTCATCATTGAATTCAGTGATATCATCATTCAGCGCAGTTCAGTTTAAATAGTGTCTGTGCAATCAAGTCCACGATATCGCTGGACATTAAGTGTCCCCAACTAAGCAAGCCAGAGGAACCAATACTCCATTGATGACTAGGGTTGGGTATCGTTTGGGTTTTTTTCGATACCGGTGACAAATCGATACTTTTAAAATGGTTCCGGTGCCTGAACTGATAAATAAATAAAAATTCCCCCCAAAAATGATGGATTGGCCATTATAAACACACGATGTCTGTTTCATTCATACTGGACGCCAGAGGGCGCCCTCGCACAGAGAATACACACATCCAGTCACAGAAGTAGAGAACTCATGACCCTCCAGGAAATCCCTCATATGCACAAAGGCATCGCTATTATAGCTGTAACCGAGTAAACAGAACATATAAACGTTTCGAATGATAACACTCGACTGCGACAACCTAGTTTATCTGTGTTATTCAAGCCATCTCTGGTATTCTCATAATAATTAAGTATATTTATAATAGGGTGACCATGTTTTAGTAAAAAGGGGCGGGGTTCGTGGGCGGGGCTTCACCAAACAGTATAGGTAGCAAGGTTTTTGTTTGTTAAGAATAGGGAAATGCTAGTGTTAGAGGGTCATTTTTAAATAAAAATAGAACAGAAAAATAACAGATAATGCTAGTGTTAGAAGATCATTATTTATAATAAATAAAAAGAATATAAGTGGAAAGAATAGAGAAAGAATAGATAATGCTAGTGTTAGAGGCTCTTTTTTTCTTTACAAATAAAACAAGTAGTTAGAATAGAAATAGAATAGAGAGTGCAAATGTTAGAGGGTCAAGTTTTTTAATAAAAAAAACAAGCAGATAAAATCAGAAGTAGCATTAGAATATAGAGAGTGCTAGAGTTAGAGGGTCAAATGAAGATGAAAGAGATGTGTTTTCAGCCATTTCTTGAAAATATTAAGGACTCAGCTGCTTGGATTGAGCAGGTCATTCCACCAGGAGGGAACAGTTGATGTTGAAGTCCATGAATGTTTGATCATAGGTACATTAGGTAGAATGCAAAATGTTTCAATACAAGCATTTCAGTCAAATGTAATTTATGCAATATTTCAAACCTTTAACCCACTTGGGGGAAAAAAACCCATGGCAACAGTTTAAAAGTAGCCCAATTCTGTGGAAAAAACAAGGACTCAGATTCTGAGCTCATTGACAAATATCTGATCTTGTAAGATGTGCTTGCTCCCTTTACATAGACACAGAGTGCGTGTGATCACGAAAGTGAAAGTAAACGGCGCAAACGCTCATTCAAAAATATTTAAATACTCCGCATCCTGAGAGCGGCTCCCTGATGCGCCAAAATTATACACAATATTAGAATGTTTAAAGGAGTGGACACGAAACTCGCGGGAGCGAAACATGTTGTGGGAGCAGGCGGCAATGGTCAGAGATTCAGCGGGAGTGAGATTAAGAAAACAGCTGAATACCAGACATTTTGGGCAATTAAGAAATCCCGGCCGGA